TGAGCTTGGGCAAGTGACATAGAGCGCATTTTTCTCACCTGAAAATGGCCTGACCCCAGTTCTGAAGGCTCTTTACAAGATTAACTGAACCACTCACTGCACAGAAAGCGTCTCTGTTCTGTCTCAGCTCCCAGCTCCCTTCTCCATGTCTTCTCTCATTCCCCACACCCTCCTACTACAGAGCTGCCACCCCATCACTCCAGGAACTGGAAAATATAGTCCCCTCCTGCCTTAAGCACCAATCATTTATTGATATACGGGAGTTGGACCCAACTATATTTATCAGTTGAAATATTATGTAGTGGCGTAGTGGGTAAAGCTGCCACTTGCGATGCTGGCACCCCATATGGGTGCTGGTTCAAGTCCTGGCTACTCAATTTCTGATCCAGCTCCCTAATTGCCTGGGAAAAGCAGCAGAAGATGGCCCAAATGCTTGGACCCCGCTACCCTCATGAGAAACCCAGATGAAGCTCCTGGTTCCTGGCTTCAGGTTGGCCAATGGCAACCATCTGGAGGCTGAACCAGCGGATGGAAGATCTGTCTCTCCCTTTCTCCCTGTAACTCTGACTTTTAAATAAACAATAAATCTTTTAAAAATAGGGAGGCATTTAAATATTTGACCATTGGCTTTTTCCTTCATAATCTGAAGTTTTTCAAGTATCTTTATTTTTCTTATGGTATTTAGCAGATGAAACTGCCCAGCCTTCTCTACCTGAGCAACACTAGTCTCGGGGTTGCTGTTAGTTTTTAAGACAGGTACCGGCTCAGAGCCTGTTCTCTCCTCCCTCCTGATCCCAAGACCACCTTCCGGTATCCCTGCTGGCAGACTCACTGAACATCTGGCCCCCCAACTCCCGTATCCCTGCTGGCAGACCCACTGAACACCTCGCCTGGCCCCCAACTCCCGTGTCCCCGCTGGCAGACCCACTGAACACCTCGCCTGGCCCCCAACTCCCGTGTCCCCGCTGGCAAACCCACTGAACACCTCGCCTGGCCCCCAACTCCCGTATCCCCGCTGGCAGACCCACTCAACGCCTGGCCTGACCCTCCAGCTGAGGGAGGGTGCTACTCTCTTCAGAGGCTCTGAGGATTTAATGAGTTGATGGATACAGAGCACCTAGAATGTGACCTCACTGTGCAGACAACAAAGGTATACAGTAAATTCTATTACTGCATGAGTTGGTCTGAAATAGGAAGGCTAGAGGCAAATTAGTAAGCAATTGCAAATCAGAGCAGAAAGCAGGTGGGTGTTTGGCACAGTGGTTAGGACAGCCCTGGGCTTCAGTCCCAGCTCCGCCTCTGATCGCATCTCCACGTTAATGCACACTCTGGGAGGCAGCAGGTGATGGCTCAAGTAGTTGAGTCCCTGCTACTCCTGTGGAAAACCCAAATTGAGTTCCTGGCTCCTGTCTTGGGCCTGGCCCAGCTCTGGCTGCTGTAGGTACGTGGGGAGTGAACGAGCAGGTGGCAGAGGTCTTTCACAACATCACCACTGATGCCCACCTCGGCCAGGGAGAACACTCTTTACCAGGGTACCAATTCATGTGAACGTCTTCTGGAAAGACCCTCTCCGATACACCCAGGAGCATTTTACCAGCTCTCCGGGCATCCCTTAGCCAAGTCAAGACACACAACTAACCCCCACAGCAGCAATGCAACAGTGTCTCACTGTTCCCTTCGTGGGTCAGCTGACCGGTTCTGTTTCTGCCCTTTCTATTGTCAGTCTCATTGGAATCAAAGGTTCTTGACCTAACAGGAAGAGATGCAGACGCCCCTCACGTAGCCATCTCGGACAGGTGCTAAACCAAGCAGCTTGGCCCTACCCACAACTGTTACATCATCCGTTTAGGCACCGGTCCTTGTGCAAGACGCTGAGGGGCACAGGCAGAGGAAGCACCTTCGTTACCCAGTGGTGGAGACAGGTGCATACGCCCATCTCCACACAGAATGATTTGAAGTGCCCAAGCCACACGGTTCCCTGAGACTTTAGTCAGGGGATCTGGGCTGGAAGTGACCCAAAGCAGGTAACCTTCCAGGGAGGTGAGGAGTACAGAGCATATCTGGGGACACTCTGCTATAGGTAACAGGTCCAGGGCATGGCAGGGGACTCTAGGAAGCCTCAAGGGAGTGGGACAAGGGAAGTCTGCCAAAGTAGAAGGGCAGAGGAAAGATCAGGTAGAAGAAGTGTTAAAATATCTCAGACAGGTGTCAGGTATGCCGACAGCACTGTTTGCTGGCAGGTGAAAAAAATGACAAGTTCTAGCAATCGAGGGAGCAGTCCTGAAAGTGCCCACACATCAAAGAAGCAGCTAAGCTGGGCCTTTGAAATCACAGGCTAGCTCTGGCCTCCATACTTTTAAGATTTATTTATTGGAAAGACAGAGTTACAGAGAGGAGGCCAGCCATACACATACACATACACACACACACACACAGAGAGAGAGAGAGAGAGAGAGAGAGAGAGAGAGAAAGAGAGAATCTTCCATCCACCAGCTCACTCCCCAAATGGCCACAATTGGGGCTGAGCCAAGCCAATGCCAGGAGCCTGGAACTTCATCCGGGTCTCTCACATGGGTGACAAGGATCCAAAAATACTTAGGCCACCTTCCACTGCTTTCCCAGTCCCATTAGCAGGGGCTGCGACTTGAACTGGTGCTCAAATGGGATGCTGACAATGCAGGTGGCAGCCCAACCCACTGCACCACAACACCAGCCCCAGGCCTCAAAAATTTGACGCATTACTCACAGGCTGTGTAAACCTGAGCAAGCGACTTGCACCTCTGAGCCTGTCTCCTCCTCTGTAAGCGAGTGCTAAGAGCTCCTTGCTAACGGGACTGTGCTAGGGGTTAAGTCAGCCACTCAGAGTGCAGCAGAGCCCCGAACACGCTGCAGTGAACACTCAGCAGGCTCTCCTGACAGACCTGCAGTTACTCAGCGTGGGAAGGAAATGTACTTTGGGAAGACTGCTGGTGAGGATTAACACGGACTAAGAGTTTCTGCTTAGTAACTGACACACAAGTGGACTGAGGGAAGGAATAATCCAGGCATGACCATCTATGTGCCCAATACTGCCAGGGCTGGGGCCTGGCCACGAATCAGTCTCCCTATACCCAAAATACGTCTGTGCTCAGTCAAGACAGGAAGAAAGGATCACACACACTCACGGCACTGCACTGGGCCGGAGACAGCCACAGCTCTGGGTGCACAAAGCACTGGGAGACCCAGAAGAAGCTGTCAGTGGAGTGGGGGTGGTTCTGCCACCCTCCAGACCAAGACTTACAGACCAGATCAGGACAGGCTGAAAGGGGAACTGGAGAAGCCACCAACGCCGCACCCTGAACGTCAGCAGACAAGGCCGGGTGGAACCCCACAACGCCACCCAAGCTCAGCCGGCAGTGAGCTCGCTCCACCTTGAGGGCTCCTGCCAAGAACCCCAAGACCTCCACTCAGTAACAAGGCACACACGTGGCTATTAAAACCTTTTACTCTTTCACATTGTCTTCATTTTTTCCAGAATATTCATAACAAAAATACATGGAATTTAGTATGAGTTTCAGGACACTGGGTGACAACAGAACTTAAACAAGACATGACTATGAAATATCATCCTTCTTGCGGGGGCAAAACTTTCCAATCCACTGAGCCAGGATCCTGACTCGATGAGGCCCCGCCACCTCATGCTGCCTCGGATTCTAACTTCAGAGACTGGCAAATGTGGAGGAACAAAATTTTTTTTTAAATAAAGTAAGACCAAACACAGCCAATCGCAATTCCCCTCTCAAGTTCCCCTTCCCTTGGCTTCTTCAGCTGCCCAGATGGGATGAGGGCGTGGGGCAGGGCTCTTTGCTGACCAAACACCAGGCAGACGCGTGGGTTTCCTGAAGTGGCTCAAAACACAACCACCTGGTGCTGTGGCTGAGCAGGGCAGGAGGCAGGGAGAGGGGATGACAGAGCTGCTGGCCGGAGGCCTGGTGTCCACAGTGCACGGTCAACATGCAGCTCCCAGGGACAGAGACGACGGCCGCAGTGTAACCCTCAGCCAGCACGTTTGCACAGAGCCCTCTAACTGGGGAATGAACACTCTGCAGTAAAACAAGTGGAGCAGAACAGCACGGAGGCTTCTGCTAAAACTCCACCAGGAACAGACGTTCGTCAGCACAGAGAGCCAAAACCACCTGGTTTTAACATGAAAATCCTTCACATCACCTGTGTTCAAAAATAGCAACAATAATTTATGATAGCAACAGCTTCCTTAAAAAAGTTAATACAATCCCAAGTGTGGGAAGACCTGGTTTCTTATGGATGTGGTTCTTAGGGAAGGGATCGATCACCATGACACACACAAAATAAAGTCCCGGTATTCTATGCTTTTAGCTTACAGCTAAAGCCACCCTCCAAAAGGTTTTAAATTAGTGTTTTCCATTGCCAAGTATCTCAGATCACACAGACCAACATGTAATACACCAAGTAATAAATAAAATGAGACATTTACTGCTTCCCCTCAACCTCAGACACCACCGAGTCTCCCCGGAAATTCTGAGCAATGGAAAATCACTTCAGCCAGGTGGCCCAGCAGCCACTTCCCTTCCCACCGAGTCGGATCACGGCTGGTGGTGGAGCACACGGGGGCAGAGGCAGCCGTGGACCTCTGTGCTCTGGATACACGCGAGTCCCTTCTGCCCACAAGAGAGCTCTCTCACGGGACAAGCTGTGGCCTCCGAGTGAGCCAACACACCCCTTCCGTGCCAGACACAGAATCTGGATACTTTAGCCACACACTGCTTTGGGAGAAAAACTGAACGCTAACATTTTTTCATTTCTAGTATCATTGACATCATGGGGGGTAAAAAAGAAGATAATCAACATGACAAAGTCTGACGACGAGAATCAGGAAATCCACGAAGGAAAGATGGCGCTAAAACTGATTTGACAGCTCTTCCATCACTGCCCACCACGCAGGCTTGAGGCTCGTGACTTCATGGACGCACGCTTTGATGCACTGCCAAAGGCCAGTTTCGAGTCTGTTACGGTAACCCCAGTGTGACGCTGCCTGCCTTCCTCTCACCACCCTCTGCCCGTAAGATCCAAGGGGTTCCTGGGTGGTGGTAAGCACAGCACCTGAACAGGTGCCAAGAGAACCATCCCAAAAACTTCGTCTTGGATTTGGGCAAGGAACCAAGTTAGTGGTCTGGAGTCTTGGCGACAGCATCCACACTGGGGCTTAACCTCAGCAGCCAGCCTGCAGGATGTCGCCCCCGGAGCGCTTGGTCACCGACAGCGTCGTGAATACCTGCAGGGGAAGAGAAAGGGCGACGTGTTTAGACACCTGGGCTAAGGAATGAACAGGAAAGGCTTCAGGTAACACAACACATGCTGAGAATGACGAAGGTGACTCCTTTAGACAGACAGACACGTCCTCTCCAGAGGACAGTGGGAAAACCGCGAGAGCAACAACCTCTGTTAGAGCCTATGAAGATTTTTATTAGAATGACAGCGATGGTAGCAAGTCAGTTACCCTAGCTGCTTGTCAACTCTTTGAAAGAAATTCTTCCTGAAATACTCTGAAAACAGGAAGGTGTGAGGTCACTGCTAGCCACACCCACATGCACCCATCACTGGTAGAATCCGTCCCCCCATCCTCCTCCTGATGGCCTTCTCCCCTAACTAGTGCTTATTATTCTTGTGTATTTCTTCCTGTAATTTTTTGTAGTTTTAAACAGCAAGACTCTGTGTGTGTGTGTATAAATACTCGTATATATACACACATAAATATATATATTCAAGATTTATTTATTTGAAAGGCAGAAATACAGAGAAAGAAGCAGGGGGAGGGACAGAAGGAGGGAGGGAGAGAGACAGAGAGAGAGAAAGAGAGAGACAGAGAGAAAGAAAGAAAGATTGATTCTGTCTGCTGGTTCACTCTCCAAATGGCCACAACAGCTAGGGCTGGGCCAGGCCGAAGTCAGGAGTTTCTTCTGGGTCTCCTATGTGGGTACTTGGGCCATCTGCTGCTGCTGTCCAAGGCGCATTAGCAGAGAGTTGGATCGGAAATACAGTAGCCAGAACTCAAACTGGCACCCATATGGGACTCTTTGCCACAGTGCCAGCCCCCAGTTTTTTTTTTTTTGTTTTGTTTTGTTTTGTTTTTTACAGGCAGAGTGGACAGTGAGAGAGAGAGACAGAGAGAGAAAGGTCTTCCTTTACCGTTGGTTCACCCTCCAATAGCCGCTGCACTGCGCTGATCCGAAGCCCAGAGCCAGGCGCTTCTCCTGGTCTCCCATGCAGGTGCAGGGCCCAAGGACTTGGGCCATCCTCCACTGCACTCCCGAGCCCCCAGTTCTTACGCTCTCTGCTATACCCTTTCTTGGCTCCATCCTGTAGTTCTGTAATTTACCATATGCTACAAAAAGCTCTGGTTCCTGTCCCAGCTGCTGCTCCACTTCTGATCCAGTTCTCTGCTTATGGCCTGGGAAAGGAGTAGATGGTCCAAGTGATTGGGGCCCTGAGCCCAAGTGGGAGACTCGGAGGAGGCTCCTGGTCTCCTGGTTTCAGATCAGCCCAGCTCCAGCTGTTGCAACCATTTGAGGAGTGAGCCAGCAGATGGAACACCTTTCATTCTGTCTCTCCCTATCTGTAACTCTGCCTCTCAAATAGATAAATAAAACCTTAAAAAAATAAGCAAACAGATTTTGGGGGCAGGTGTTTAGCCTATCAGTAAAGGTGCTGGTTAAGATGCCTATGTGTCATGAACAAAGTTTCTGGGTTTGATCTGGGCCAGGCTCCTGGTTTGAGCTCCTGACTCCAGCTTCCAAGGATGGCTCGAGCAGCTGGGTCCCTGCCACCCAGGTAGAATAACTGGACCGAGTTACTGGTCCCAACTTTGGCCCCAGCCCAGCCTCAGCTGATGCAGGCATCTGGAGTAGTGAAACAGGGAATGGAGGCTGTGTCTCACTCAAATAAATTTTTTTAAATGAATAAAAACTAAAACTACATGTCCATTCCTGGCCTAACAGAGTAATTGGTACGGAACAGGCTCTGCCCCATCCTTTACCACTCAGAAAACTGGAGATTACGTGACAAGGATTTTCTACGTGCGACAACAGGTGACAGGCTGTAATTCCCACAGGAGGCCAGATGAGCCTTCAGTGGGCCTAGCTTTCCACCCAGAGCCATTTTTTCAGACTGATCCAGGCCAAGGACCCAAAGAGAGCAAGTCGCCCTGATGTGGAGACAGACCCAGACCGGTCAGGGTACAATGAGGCTTGGAAGCTACAATGTAAGAATTCCTGAGAAGAGAGCTACCCAGAGAAAGAGCTCCAGAAACCTGTAGGCAGGTGCCCTGGGGCTGAACACCAAGCTGTGTGCGCCCAGGAGGCTGGGGAAAACAGCAGCCAGCAAGTTGTGTACTGATCAAGTACCCAAGCCCACCCAGGGCCATTCACAGGGACATCGGAAAGCCACAACACAGGAAGAAGGCTAAACATTACTAGCCCTAGAGCAAAAGCTGCTTAAACCTAACATTCTAGAAACTTGTTGAAAACAAGCTCAAAAGGATCAAAGTGATCCACAGGACATAAACTGCTTCCCACGGACACTCAGTACTCTTTGAAGAAGACAACAAAACCCAGGGACCCAGAACAGGTTCAAGTGCTAAAGAAAAAAAAAATCTGTCAACTTAAAACTGCACAGGCCACAAAAATATCCTTCCTGCCAAAAAGGCAAAATAAAGACATTTTCAGACAAATTAAAATGGAGCAACCCATCGCAGGCAGATCCGCAAGGAGAGACAGGGTGGGAGGTCTCGCGGCTGAGGGAAGGGAGCAGCAGCGCCGGCCCCTTTTTCCTGCTCAGGGAAAGCAGAGCTGCCCCCACCTGCCGGCCCTTCACCTTCACCACTGAGGGCTCAGCGGCCCGGCTGCTCCTCCCCTGCCTGCTCCGGGATCCCACCCCCTCATGTTCTTTTCATTACATCACCTGCCGCCAGCCCTCTTTATTATTATTTTAAATTTTTATTTATTTAATTCTCAAGACAGAGAGACAGACAGCTTCTAGCCACTGGTTCACACCCCAAATGCCTGCCAAGGCCTCAGCAGAAGCTGGGAGCCAGGACCTCAACCCAGGTCTCCCGGTGGGTGGCCGGCTCCCAATCACTTGGGCCACCACTGCTGCCCTGCTAGGTGTGCCCTAGTAGGAACCTGGAATCAGGAGCCACAGAAGAGCCAAAGGCCGAACCCAAACCCCCAGTGTGGGATGTGGGCACCGTCAGGCTACGCCGGATGCCTGCCCCTGGATGCCTGCCCCGGCTACCCTCACCTGCTCCCTCCCCTCCGCTTCTTTCCTTGGAGTTCAGGAGGCCTCAAACTGCACTCATCTGACCTCTCCCTTCAGCCTCCTGCCATGACCACTGCCTCTTGTCCTCCCAGACAGAACCCTGAGCGGTGTCCGTGCCTGCAGCTGGCTGCCCTCGCCCAGCAGCCAGGGGTAGCTTTCTCATCTTCAGCCGAGGACACCGCCCAGACTTCCCTCCACACAGCCTCCCCATGGCACTTCTCCTGGTCTAATTCATCTCTCAACCTTTCCTTCCTCTTCTTACTACCAGAATGTGCTCTTTCCTGTCTCTTTCTATCGTGGCTGTTGGTCAGCCCTGGCAGAGATGTGTGCGGAAACACTGAGCTCCCCCAGCCCTGGGGCGGCTGCAGGCCCCGCTGCCTTCCCTGGTTACCCCAATGTGTGCAGCACGAACAGGAACATCATTCGTGTGTGTGTGGCATCAAAAGGCCAGGAAGCATCTCCCTGGCTCCACCCTGATCTCCCCTTCACCAGGGACTTGCCCAAGCAGCCTCACTGAGTCGGCTACTCCCTGTAGGCACAGGAATTTGTCAATCATCAGCATCGAGTCTCCTGCGAGAAACACACTGCTAAGATTAACCAACACCTCCTCTTGGATGCCGCTTGAAACGTCACATGTCCAACACGGAATCCTTCCACTTAATGGAGGATTAAGCTTCTCTCAGTGAATGTCATCACCACTCCTTGGTGGCTCTGGGACATGCATGCATCCAGAATTGTTACCCCTTCTATTACCATTACTGCTGGCATAGACTAAAAAAAAATCATGGCCACTTCTAATTATGCAGGCAAAGCACCAGGGATCAATTCAAAAACACCAAACAAAAGGAGAAAATGCTTTCCTGTGAGAGAAGCTTTTGGTCTGTTTTAGCCTCCGAGCAGGGACAAAGCCCTTTTCTGCATGTTGCACGCACATATACGCACACGCCCACACACACACCATAAGCAATACAAAAAGTTCAGACACAAGTAAAGGCCAGAAGAAAACATGGACAACTCACACCCGCAAAAATCAGTTACAGTAAGAGGTTCATCTTTGTTAGCAGTGTCAGGTGAAAGTCCTCAAAACAGTTATCCTTTTACACTTAGTATAAAAAAAAAATTTAATACTGAATTTTGCAACATTTTCATTAGCACCTTTTAATTTAATACTGATGATTCCATAAACTAGCAACTTTTTCTAAAAGCAATACAATTACCTTGTAGGAAGACAATGCATGATAAGGAAAACAGCTGTGTTAGGAAGATGGCACTATGGCAGTTTATAATGTACCACCACAAGTGCTCTGTGAGGCCAGCGCTGTGGCACAGCAGATTAAGCCATGGTCTGCAGTGCTGGCATCCCATATGGGTACCAATTTGAGTCCCAGCTGCTCCACTTCCAATCCAGCTAGCTCCCTGCTAATGTGCCTGGGAAAGCAGCAGAAGATGGCTCAAGTTCCTGGGCCTCTGGGCCTCTGGTACCCATGTAAGAGAAACAAAAGAAGCTCCTAGCTCCTGCCTGGCCCAGCCCTGCTCATTGCGGCCATTCGGGAAGTGAACCAGTGGATGGAAGATATCTGTGTGTGTCTCTCTGCCTCTCAAATAAACAAATAAATCTTTTGTTTTTATATAAAATGTGCTTTCTTTTGAATACTTAGAACATTCAAATACCAGGCAAATTCATAGACTTAAGTTCTGTTTCTTAGGAACTATTTGTAGACTTGTATACAAAACCAGAAACCCATTCAAAAATGGGCAAAGGTAGTAAGAGCTCTTTGCTCTTTTTTAATACTGCCAACACACATTTATATAACGAAGAAAGGAACAGATGTTTAGCTAGTAGTTCAGAAGCTTACATTCTATGCTGCAGTGTTGGGGTTTGAGTCCTTGCTCCAGCTCCTGACTCAAGCTTCCTGCTAATGTGGACCCTGGGGTAGCAGGAGTAACTGCGTCCATTCC